CCGTCTTATACCTTGCTGCATATGACTTTTTAAAAATTATGTCCACAGTCATGAATATTGAACCAAAGACCCAAAAGGACGGGACCCACAGCCGCAAGGCATACTTGCATATTGAGTGAGCATGTGTTTATTGCCATTATAGGCCTTTGGTGTATACACGATGGACTGCTGGTGGGGTTTTTCATCATGGCAGCATTGGTGGCAGAATGAGTTTCAAGGGGGGGGCCAGTTGTGAGAGCATCTGATATCAGCCAATCAACCGGTTCACATACAAAAGTTGCATAGCATATACAGTATAGGCGTCACCCATGTCCGTGTGTGATTTTGCTGGATACAACTGAGTTGGGATTTTGTAACCTCTCTTTTGTAAGTGTGGTTTTGCTCTCTAGGAATCTGCTTACCCAAGCAAAAAGGTCTTTAATCCCCACAGCTCTTTTGTATATAGTGTGGGCTTCTCTATTTAACTCTAATTACTCAGGAAAGGCGTTTCCGTTTTATTGTTTGTTGGGGGTGGGTCCACTCGGTAGCAGCATCCGTGTGTAGGATTGTCATCTGCGTTCTGACCCAACCAAACATGACGTTTTATGTCAACCGCAGAAAAGAAAAAAATTATTCTTAAATGAGTGTTACGTATCTTCCATGGAACAAATAAGGAAAATTGTGCATGTTTACGTGTCATCCTTTGTCCGATCCATTAACCAGTTGGCGTCTAATTTTCTTACCTGAAAAACTGCTGGGGGCGGGTTTTACCAGCAAATTCTTCAACCTTGTGATTGTGCTTTGACCTATGACGTGTTCACACGTTAACCGCAGAAATGAAAAAAAGAAGAATTCTTAAACAAGTGTACACGTCCTCCGTGGAACAAAAAAGGACAGTTACGTGTGTTTACATGTCATTCGGCATCAAGTGGTTAAGCCCCATCCCATTGTAGGACCTGTGACCCCCCATCAAAAAAGTGGGGGGTGACTGCCCCCAGTCTCCCCCCCACTTCAGCCACCAGTGATAGGTGGGTTTGGCTGCAGCAAGCTTATTGGCACAATGCCAGATCCTGTCCACACTGTAGTATGCACGTAAGATAGCACTGAATTTTCAGTTGTATTTTATGCATAAATGTCATCATACTATATGTTCCCATTTTCAAGTGACTAGCCTACAACATACTTCTACTCTCAAAGAGCACCTATGAATAAAACTTGTTCTTTCTGAATTTTACCTGTTTAATTATAAATGGAAGTGTCCAGACTGAGTACAATATATAATGTTTGTCTTTCATCTCATTCAAAATACTTTTTAAAGGGACTTTTTTGTGTGTGCACCAAGACACAAATTCTGAAAAATGTTTGTAAAGGTCAGCTGTTTGTTTATATGTCATTGAGGGGAACCCAAGGCCCTCATCATGGTGGACGACGTGGCGCACAGTCACGGAGTAAATCCCGCACAGAGAGTACACAGTTTCTTTATATATAACAAAGTGCTCCAAAAGCCTTTGACAAAACCATTTCTCAATTCAGCGATAATAGAGTACTCCATCCTACCCTGGCCCTTTCTCTTTTCCGAAATGCTTCTCTGGACATGCCCAGATTGCTGAGGTTGACAAATTCAGGTTTTGTACAGCAATTCTGAGAGAATCCACTGACCACACAGGACTTCAGCACATTAACTATTGCAAACAATCCACCAAAACAAGAAATGTCGGGAAAAAAGCTAAGTATAGTCCTTACTGACACACATCCGCATAAACGTGCGTACATACCCTTGCGACCTTTGCCAGTACCAAGTAACACAATGACATTTGGGGGTCTGATAAATATCATTTGCATGTATTAAATATGAATTTGGTTTTCGCAAAAGATGGAGCTGAATCGCAACTTTGATTTTATTACACTAAAAGTAAACTTCATGCTGTAAAATAGTGTTCTGATGGTAAGGTCAACAAAAACACAAAAACCTCAACGTTATTAGAAGTGCTCTTTAATGCATTTTGTTTTTTGTTTTTTTCCTTCCCTTTTGTTGTTCACTGATGCAGTGATGTAAACACCTGCGTAATAAAAATGCTCTATACAATGAAGCAATGCTGTGCCACACCAATGCTAAAAGGAGGCATGATGGAAATGCAGCAACCATTCCAGCCAAATAATTTTGCTGCACTGTACTGTGACCGCACACACACTGCTCTGCAGTTGCATATCCAAAAAATCTTGAGCAAGAAGGTTTCTACAAGTTAATTCACAGAACCTGATCTCTTGTTTATGTATGTACTTTCTGTATTCATGAATATAATTTGAAGTTGTATTATCAGTACATAAAGTAAGCCCGTTTCCACAATATTTGTGCTTCAATATAAAGTTTATTGCCCATTTCTCTAGATGCTTCGTGCACACTCATTCTGCAATATATGGCCATTTGTTGGCCAGTTTCCTGTCATGACTATTAGAGTAGCATTGTGCACATTAGAGTGAATTGTCCATTACTATTAAGACTTACATGTATCAACTGTAAACATTTTTACGTATATAGTAAGGCATGGTTTTAATCAGTCATGGCAATTTTTAATAGTTTTTTGTTCTGCAAATAGTTCAGGCTAAAATTTGCATGTAATTGTTTAAGGTTAACTGTAACTACAACCACAAAACTTTAAGTTTCACATATAATTTTTAAACCCAAACTTGCAGACAAAGAGAAACTACACCAAGGCTTCCTTTTGTTGGTTATGGTCAACCACAATGAGAGGGCACATTACTGAATTTGCTCCATCTTCCCATGTCAGTGACGTGTTTCCATACATATCCAGTCAGGTATTCAGGAGTCAATGGCCTCCCTACACCTTTTTTTTTTCAAATTTTGCCAGAGCTTTGCCTGACTGGGAGACATGGCTATAGCAGCAACATCACACATGTTGCCAGAGTCTATGTGAGCTCCAAGTCATGTTCCAAGTTTACATGCAGCATAGTCATCTGATCCAAAAATGCACCACTGTCAGTGAACAAGAGATTTACAGTAAAATGCTATTGTTCAAAATGTCAAAGTAATATACATGTATTATGATATTACATGAAATGGATATCATGCCAATAATCGAGGCTCAAGAACAAATTTAAATGAAAAATACATGTAACTTTATTCCTTGAATCAAATTGTTTTATTCCTTGAATAAAACAAATGGCTGTGTTACAGATTTGGGCAATAAACTTAATACCTTTCAAATGGATCATTTCAAATAGGAAACAGCCTGAAAAATAGCACCAAAAATAAGTAGGCTTATCCTGAGATTCAAACCATGGACACCCACAATACTAATTCTTTCCTTGACCCACTACGCCATGCAAGTCAGCTCAACCAGACTCCTTTTTTTCCTTCTTTTGTGCCCCCCACCCAGCATAATGATCCTGAAGCCGTTACATAAGGTGCCTAATATGATGTATTACTGCATGCCTAACACAGTTGCATTTTGCTGGAAAATTCTCGTTTATTATCAGCGGTGAGAAGTTGGATTGGATGGCAGAATTGTATGATGTAGAGTATTGATAATTAATATGTAATTTTCCCTTGTTTGACCCAACAGACATACAAGTCTCCACTGCACAAGCCCCCACTCTCAGTTACAACAATACCTGATCCCCCTTCCTCCAGCCCACAGATGAGCAATAGCAGTCCGTCACTGGAGCAGGATGGGACCAAACGCAAACTGCCCAGCTGGTTTGAGGGATCAGCCAAGAAGGGGAAAATCTGTGAGGGGAACAGTAAGAAGACAAAGGGAAGCAGCTTGTTTGGAAGGCGGTGAATGCACGACTTGAGGCAATAGGGTTTTATAAAAGTTTTTCTTGGAAATGGTGCAAGTTAGCACTGTTATACACATTTAATTAATGTGCATTGACATGAATCCTTAACTATGAGGAAATGGTTACCATACAGTCATTTATTTTCAGAAATTTATATTCATGCTGGGAATGTGACAGTTGCTACCACCTCATGGGAAACTGTTGAGTATCTGTCGATCTGAATAGGCCTTGAAATGGGCAGGATATTACATGCGTCTTGAATGTACCCACACAAGAGTATTAAGTTCATAGGGCACTTACTCGCCTTGCAAAGTAAAGCCTACTGGGTAGTTCCATGTTTGTGCACAAAACCTATGAAAAATGTGACTTTTTTACAGTATTTGCATGTCTTGGTCTGTATTCTTTAACAGTGTATCAGCAAAGTCGACACACTAAATATCTAAATGCACAATTAGCAAATGAGCATTTCATTTTGGTCTGTGTCAAAATGCAAACAGGTGTGCATTGTACTGCAGATGAGTTAGGCTGAAGCTGTTTAATGCGTCATACAAATGATAAAAAACATGTTGTATGTTACTTGCATATATTGTTCTTGCACACTACATCATTCAGAACATGCTCCATCTTTAGTTTCATTGTGTTCTAGGAACATTTGCATTATTTTAATTACATGTATGCCTGTGCCTAGGAGGCATAAAAATTTCTCCTCCAGAAAATGATGAGTTTGGGCTCTTAGAATTTATAGCTTTAATTGCCCGCACTCAGTTGAATTCACAACAGCTGAACACCTATTAAAACTTCATGCTACACAATAAATTTGTGCATGTTCAATCGAAATGCTGCTCCTGAATACGTGCATTTCTGCCCTGTTAGTACAGTCTATGATCGTCATACATGTGAGCCATTGTGCACACATCTTGAGATGTGGCAGCTCATGTACATGTAACATTTAGCTTGCACTGTTTACATGTTAATGAAAGGCTAAAAACTCTATTCTTAGTCGATTCACTAATAATTACAAGCAAAGCAGAAATTATGTCTTGAAACACGAGAGGTTTAATGTGTGGAAATCACACTGTTTGTTGATGAAAGTATAGTCCCTTTCACCATTCTGCTCAGAACAGCCACCATATTTGGATCATAGGTGTACATTATACTCTAGGGGTGATTTTGAATTGGAAAAGTTTTTGCATGGAGAAAATCCTTTCCTCAAATAAAATTTCACATAACACTGATCCAACTTATTTTCCACTTTACATCTTATTTCAGTTTACAGTGCTAATGGTGAATTTCTGTCTGTATATTTTTGGCTGCTTTTAGGTTTACCCATTCATTAATGGAGACTCCCACTACGTCTGCAAACACTACACACAAGAAAGTTGGCGCCTGTTACAGAATGTGATGTGTGAATTGAAATTAACTCTTATACAATGGTCAGCTGACCATCGTGGAAAAAAAAGAGAACAAAATTTCTGTTTTCTCGAAAAGTACAGCACAGGGCGGAAATATTTTACAGACTGATTGAGGCTGTTACGTACATTCTTTCAAGTAAGATATTTCAGGATTATACGATAATCGGATTTGGGGGATTTTACCAGTGCAGCACACTACCTTTAGATTGATGTGAAGTTTGAGAACATAACAATTTGAATTCTCTGTACTAAAGACATTGTAGCTATACCTCAAACTCACAATTTCAGGCAAGCTTTCGCTTGGTTGCATAAGAAATGCTTTGCACCAATACTCTGTTTTTAATGGATAGGAAGAGCAAAAAGGACCAAGCCCATTCCAGAAATGGTGGTCGCTATACAAAAGCGTGCCCCAAATCAGTATAGCAAGTATGGCAAGTGTCTTTGGTCTGAGAAATTCATATTTTATGTTTATGTGCAATCAGATAACTCAGTGTACCAGATTGTATTCAAATTTAAGTTGCAAAAGGCTAGTGCACTGCATTTCCATGCACACATAATCCACACGTGTACCCTGTAAGTTATAACTCATTTCACTTTGTGTGTTGGCTCTGCCTATCTTGAAAATTCTGCTCCAAAAATGAGGTCAGAATTGAGACATGGACTTTGTGCTTGAAGTAGAGATACATGTACCTTGTTAGTTGTTACCTGTGGCTAAGGACTGAGCAACAGAAACTGTACAAGTCGGGTCAACTATTAAGTGGACAGTTGAAAAGTCACATTTCAATATTTTTATAAGACTTTGCACAGCGACTGTTTAAAAGTTATACATGTACTGCATGATACTTGTGATACAATCCATTGATTTATGCAGTTAAGTACGAGCAAGAAATTTAAGATCTCAAATGACCTTTAAAATGTATTAAAATAAACTATGAAAAGATCTGGATGTGCAAAATCTGATATAAAAGAAGATCTTACAGTGAAATAGCCGTTTTTGTGTAGTGTATTTCGTTTACTGAAAACATCTCACCTCGGCTTACCTCAAGTTGCATATAAGCACGATATGCATGTATACTCAATGTAAGAGCCCCTGCTACACTGCCTTTCTTGCTGCTTGTACTTAAAGAGCCGTTTAATTCAGAGATCTGTCCTAGTTTTTTCAGGGTCACGTTCAGTGTGAATGTATACGGAAACGTATTACCACCACACACACAAACACACACAGACAATTATTTTCACACATGTATGTGATTATTTCACATACATGTACGTGATAATTTAATGCATGCGCATGATAGTTTCTTATACGTAGGAGATAGGTTTCCGTATCTAACACTGGCACCTGTGCAAGTCAGTTTTCTGTGTATGTTCTTTCGGTGCAGGTTCTTTCGGTGTAGTTTTAAAAGCTGCATGGTAAGTCTAAAGCCTAGGCGCATTTGAATTCCTGTAACTGTCTTTAACCCCAATTTTGGCCAAATAGCCCAGGTCTTAATCAAAACGTTTCATTTCATATTGTGTCTTGAAGTCATACAAAGTACGTACATGAAAATGTTTTTATATGTTTAGCAGTAATATGTTTCCGTACGTGTGCAATGTAGCTTTTGTAAAGAGCTAACTGTAAGCTCTGGCCGCACACTGTACAAATCACCCGGTACCTCCAAGCCTCAAGCAACAGTCTATGCTGCCGGGTTCAGCGGGTTTGGAAATACCACTGTATCATGCCAAATAGTGTCCACTCAATAGCATACTGCAATTTGTTCCTGTATGTATGGGTGCGTTCGATTACCTTCCCTGAATACACCAGTGTTACACCAAGGGAAGTCTCGAAAGGAGGCTAAACGAACGCTGCAGTGTATTCGCCAAGGCATTCCAGGAAAAAGGTCAAGTCTCCACCACCTTCCATCATGTACGTCCATGCTCGAACAGTTCATCCGTGACGTTAATACACTCGGGCAGCCTCCAGAGACCCGCTCGCCAGCTGGGGCAGTGGTGATTGACACCAGGGCAGGCACGAGGATCGTAATGGCTAAACGAACGCTCTCGCGTAAGTTTGACTTACTCGTGTAAGCTAATCAAACGCACCCTTTGGCGTCACGTTGACAGAAGCCTGTTTAATAGTGTCTGCGTTTGTCTTGTATCCTATTGCGTGGCTTACTGTTGATCTATCAAGACATCAAAAAGATTTCTTTCCCTTCCTGCCAAATTATGCTCTTTCCTGCCAAATACTGATCATTCCTCCAACATACGGTCCCTTTCTGCCAAATACTGTCTGTTCTTGCCAAATTCTGACCCTTCCTGCCAAAGTCTGTCTCTTCTTGCCAAATTTTGTACGTTCTTGCCAAAGTTTGTGTCTTCCTGCCATATTCCATCTCTTTCTGCCACAATCCACTGTCCCTTTCTGCTGAGTACTGTCCCTTCCTGCTGAGTACTGTCCCTTCCTGCTGAGTACTGTCCCTTCCTGCCAGATTCTTTCAGTTCTTGCCAAATTCTGTACGTTCCTGCTAAATTCTGTCTATTCTTGCCAAATTTTATCAATTTCTACCAACTACTCTCCCTTCTGCTAAATTCTGTCCCTTCCTGCCAAATTCTGTCTGTTCCTACTAGCTACTGCTCCTTCCATCCAAATGTGCTCTCTCCTGGGCAAATACAATAAGCTTGTCCATTCCTGCCAAATGTTGTCTGTTCTGCCAAATACTTACCCTCCCTGCTGAATACATGCACTGTATGGGTCATTCGGCCAAATGCAAGCTCTTATTGTAGATTTACAAATATACGTACATTTGTACGTTGATGAGTGGTTCATTCTAAACATTCTCTTCCGTTGACCTTTGATCTTTTTCCCACAGTTGAAGCCTTAGAAGGTTGGCATGGATAGTTTTAACCTTGTCTGCAAGATCTATCTGTTGGTCTACCTTGCTTACTTTGGGAAAAAGGTCCTTTCCATTACAACAGAAGTTTCATGTCATCTGACGAGAACATCATCTCCAACCTTGAAATTACATTTCCTACTCCTTTGTCGTAGTAGTGTTTGTATTTACTTCATACTTTCTGGAGCTTTCCTCTGCAAATTTCCATAGCAGCATTAGACTATTCTTACCTAACACATCCCCCTAGATGTCTGAACAGAATTCCGCAGATTCCAGTGAGACAATGACCATCACAAAGCAGGGGGGGTTCTCTCCGTCTCGTTTCTTGCTTCATATGGTGCAGTTTGTCTTCCGTGGATTGGCACCCTTTACCGTTACTGCTACATGTATTCAGCTGTGCATGCCAGCGTATGTTACCCACGTGGTGTACAGAGACAAAACTATGCAATTAAATTTTGGGCCAAGACTATAGCATAGACTCAGAGGCGGGTCTACCTACTGCCCACACACCATTGCATGCATGTAAAATACATTTACATGTACATGTACCTATGAATATTAATCGAGCCGTGTGTTGATCCCTTGTCTCTTCACAAGCACTAATTTTCTAACATTCAAGTTATTTTCATCATTCCTAAATATGTTTGTTTCTCTATTCTGAGCTAATTTTTATGTTCAGGAAAAAATGCACAGAAAAGTTGGAAGCCAAGATGCATGTTCAGTGTACCCAATTTAAGTAAAGCAGTGATCATTAATTGTAGCAGTGCTACACTAGTTTCATCTGCAAGTCTGCAGACCCATCAGGTTTGCAACAAAAGGTATTGTTTTCTGCTTTCAACCTATCGCAATCCGTCACTAAACAGTTGCTAAATATGCAAATTCCTTTGCGTCTGATTTAATTCGCTAAATCTTCTTAGCAACCCTAGTGCGCCCTCATGTCCCATGACGCACAGCGGAATGGCCGCCATGTTCGTCCTTCTTTTCCTGAGCATCATTCTAAACGGACGTGTCTTTTTGACATCTTCGAGTTTATCGAGTTTCCGTTGCGCTACACACCTTAGTGACAAAGACACTGACACTCCACGGGACAACACAACTCTGCCCCCGGTGCACTACCTGCAGAGACAATACCGGGCCTTGCGGGCTCATCACTACCCATGCCCATGACAGCAGAGCCCACTGACCTCCTGCGCCGTCTGGGTTTTCGATCTGTATGTCACCCCGTCTTCCGGCTTCCTCCTGGGCCTTTCTGAGAAGACTGCTTCTACCCCTGCGGTTTACCAGCCCCATCCTTCTGTATCTTTACTGAAGCCTGGGCAGGCCTCCGATGCCCAACTCACCAGACGTTGACCACTGGCTCTACAACCACTGGCTCTACGCGAGATACGCCCTCTGAAGATGAGGATATCTCCTCTGCAGCCAACCTTAACCCTCCTGAGGCACGGCTCCATCTTCTTCATCAGGATATGATCCACATATTAGGCCTGCCTTCCAATCAGTCCACATCTGAAGCGTCTTCACATGCTTCCTTCAAGCGCCATCCAGCTAGGTTGGAGGCATCAACGCCAATTTTTCCCAAAATTCCACTTGACCGCTCAGGCGTCGAGAGGTTTAAAGTTCTCGCCGGTGCTAAACAATGGCATCCATACCCACCCAGGGCCTCGACTTATTTCCAGTTTGCCAGGGAGGACTTTGATAATTTCCTCTCTGTCCCTGAGACTCCAATGGAGGCTAAAGATAAACTTTCTTCTGACGCTCACAAACCTACAGGAAAGTCTCCATTTAAAGACAAGGACAAGTGTTTCGTTGAGTCTACTCTTGCTAAACCCGACAAAGCCTCACAACATGGTTTTCACTACACCGCGTTTACGGCACTCCTCTCTGAGTATTTGGCCTGAGCGTGTGACGAAGATTAACCAATTACCCCTGACCTGGCAGCTGTCGCACTTCGAGCGCTTGATGAGAGCGTCAACTCTATCTTCGAGCAGTTCGTTCAGATCTCCGTTCCAGTCACTTCTGCAAGTAGATCCAACCCTTTAGATGCCATGAACATTCCCTATGAGGGAGTCCAGTCAAGACTTCAGGTTCTTCCTCTTTATGGCAAAGACCTTTTCGCAGGGAAGTTCATGGAGATGATGGAGTCTGAAGTTAAACGTATTGACACAACACAT